TCGAAGTGTCAGGCATTATCTCTCAGGTTGGAGCGAACGTCAAGCATCTTGTCGTTGGTGATCGAGTGGCAGGCTTCAACGGAAACGGTTGCTTCTCGACACACGCTGTCCTCCATGGCCTAAACTGTGTGAAATTCCCCGACGACATGCAGTTTGAACAAGCGGCTGCTATTCCTGTGGTCTATATTACAGTTTTCTATGCCCTCATTGAAGTGGCCCACTTGTCAGCCGGTCAGGTAAGTTGTCCAGTTGGACTCAAGCGAGTCGCTCAACATTCCTGACGCTTTATAGACTATACTCATCCACTCCGGATGTGGCGGCGTAGGACTTGCTGCCATCCAGGTCTGCCAAATGATCGGTGCCGAAGTGTTCGTTACCGTCGGCTCACAAAAAAAGGTCAACTATGCGATGGAGAAGTTTGGACTTGCTCGAGATCAGATCTTCAACTCCCGTGATGATAGCTTTGTTGAGGGAATCATGCGAATGACCAAAGGCCAGGGCGTAGACGTCGTACTAAACTCTCTTTCTGGCCCTCTCCTTCATGCGTCATGGAAATGCGTCGCCGAGATGGGAAAAATGATTGAGCTGGGCAAGTCGGACATCTTAGGACGCGGAACACTTGACATGGAGCCGTTTTTGCAGAACAGATCGTTTGTTTGCGTTGACACAGCAGCGTTGGCGCTGAAAAGACCAGCAATTGTGCAGAGGTGAGTCAACCAACTCCAAATAGGCCGAGATCCAATATCTTCTAACAATAATTAGGTCACTGAATCAGGTTTTCCAATGGATGTCTGAAGGGAAACTGAGGATACATGATCGACCCCAGACCTTTGATGCAGACGAGGTGAAAACAGCATACTGCTGGCTTCAAGACGCTGATCACATTGGCAAGGGCGTCGTCAAACTGCCGGACAATCTCGACACAATTATGGCCGCACCGCTGGAGAGAAGAATCTGCCAATTCGACCCCAATGCTACGTATTTGCTGTCAGGTGGTCTCGGTGGATTGGGCAAGTCGATAGCAACCTGGATGGCGGAGCGAGGTGCTGGGTGCATCATTTTCTTAACCCGAAGCGCAGGCATCAGTCAACACGACAAGGACTTCATCGTGGAACTGAGAAGCCTCGGGTGCCTTGGCATCCCCGTGGCAGGATGCGTTAACAACATGCAGGATGTCAAGCGTGCAATTGCTCAGGCGCCTACCCCCGTCCGGGGTGTGATGCATCTGGCAATGGTTCAACGAGAAGCTCCAGGAATCACTTTAAGCCATGAAGACTGGCAAGCAGCCGTGGCTCCAAAAGTTGATGGCGCATGGAACCTGCACCATGCTCTCTCTGACATGCCACTCGACTTTTTCTTGATGACAAGCTCAGCTTTGACCATTGCCCATCAACCGGGAGAAAGCAACTATGCGGCGGCCTGCACGTTTCTCGAGTCCTTCTCTCATTATCGGCGAGGGCTCGGTTTGCCATCCTCGGTGCTACTGGTTGGTCCGATCTCTGGGGCCGGCTTCATTGAGGAGAATCTGGCAGCGATGAGAAAGGTCCAAGGATCTGGCTTCCATCTCTTGACAGAGAGGGAATTTCTTGATTTCGTGGAGTTCTCAGTACAACACCAAAGACCACAGAGCGGTGGCGATGAGCTCCAGTGCAGTGATGATGGTCACATCGTCATGGCTGTTCGTTCCGAGGCGCCGTTATCAGATCCGAATTGCCGGGCACCTTGGCGACGAGATCCGCTGATGGGGTCTCACCACAACATTGTTAGTGAAGCAGAAGCCGGTGTATCAAAAATTGGCACTTCCCTCACCGCGGCGGAAGAGCTGGCTTTTCGGGCTCGTGGCAATCTGACTGTCCTGGAAGAAGCGGGAGCGGCGGATGTTTTCGGTCTGGAGATTGGAAGACGAGTTCGAGCTATCATGATGTCGGACGATCAGGATGTAGATGTTGGGCAGACGCTGCAACAGCTAGGGGTGGATTCTCTGATGGCAGTTGAACTACGTCGTTGGTGGAAACTGACGTTTGGCGTTGAGGTGACGACTTTGGAAATCATGGGTGGTGGCACGTTGCATGATTTGGGCACTGCAACCATCGAGAAGATGAGGAGGTTGGTGGACGAGCAAGCTTAATGGGAGGCACCTACATGCTGGTAACTACCTATAATGAAAAAAGTAAAGAACGGTTCGGTTGTCTCGGTACATGTGGCTGCAGCTTCCTGCTTCAGGGCCGCGGGCTCTACCAACATCACACGATCCTCTTCACAATATGGTCCCCCATGCTCCATCTCTTACTCCGTTTGCCATCTACGCACAGAGGGTTATTACTGCTATTCAACCAACAGCTCGCGTGAAGATATTCCTCTCACATTATAGTGCCACAGGCCCACGGAACCAAGCACTGCCAACGCCGCCAGACAATACTGTCCCAGCCCAGTCCCCCCTTGAACATCACCCATCAGCGCTGACCAAGTAACTGTCAATATCGACACTGCAACCAATAAGAGAACAGTCCACCACCACACAAGCCCCCAATATATCCCCTCCACAATATAGAACCCCCATCCAGTGGGAATGTTGAAGTGATCATGCGCCTGTCCATCCCATCTTAGTTCAGCCCAGAGCTTCTTCGGCAACATCTCGACGACCATCGGTCCCAGGTGGTCCCCAGGATTGAGGAAAGAGTGCATGAAAATATCCCGTGGGATGGGTAAACCTCCAACTCGGGGAGGACAAGGGCGGAAGTCGTACGCCTGCGTCAACACCTCTTTCGCTGGAGGAATTGAGTTCACCTCGTAGGTCCCGACGACTTCACCTGACCTTTGGAGAAACAGAAGCTGGAATTTGACGTAGTGCATTGTCTTTGGAATCAGGAATGGGTTCCACGTACTCTTCCTCAACGAGTAATAGGCGTTGCGAAGACTCTGGAACAGTTCCCCGCCACATTCAGTGTTAGTGACCTCTACGTTGGCCAGCCTGCGGTGACGGACTCCACCAAGACTACCCGTGTTGACACATAGCAGGAGAAACCGCTTGGTTCCAGTTGGTATGAACGGGGGCAGAACGCTGTTAACTTCTTCGTCCGACGAACTTGTGTGGGGTGAACGCGGTCCCGAATTTGTGGAGTTAGCTTGTGGCAGCTCTGTGTTGGTCGAGGCCTGGCTACTGCTGGATGCTGACGCGCCACCCTGTTCGACTGGTCTCCTGCTGGTAACGGTATGGGCATTTGGGCCGGCAGCCTGGGCCGCAAAATCTATGGCGGCTTGGAGCTGTAACACTGGCACGTGAATATGTAGGCGGTGACCGCACCTCTGGTAGATTTTCATGTTAGGGAGATGTCACCAATATGTCACAGAAGATATGCCTTGTAAGGGGATAGGCTTACACATGTCCATGAGACCTGGACATGGCTCGCTGATGGCGCATTTTGAAGCCTATCAGAGATCATATTTCGATGATGCTGCCACAAGGTTCGTGTTGTCTGGAAAGCCTGTACTGTAGGCACGGATTTCTGCTGATATCCATGTGGATCTATAGGTTTCGAAGAAGGACGAGCCCTTAGCTCGTCGAGCTTGATCGCGCGTCCTTGGGGAACGCTAGTAGGATATGACTTGGATTCACTCCACTGTTGTTTGCTGGGGTCATTTGCCACGTGGAGTTCTTCAGAAGTAATGTCTTTTCTCGTCTTGATTTGGGACGGCTGGGGCACTGCCGCCCTGTATTTGGCCGGAGCTTGTCCGGAAAAGCTCTTTTCGGACAATACTGAGGGTTCAATGGTGGATGAGGTGCTGCCCTCATGGCCTGTCTCGGATTGGGGTCGTTCATTGGTACTCAATTGAGGGTCCTTGAGTCTGGCAGGGGGTATGCCGCTCTTCGCGTTCGTTTCTGGTTCAGGGGCAGAAGAAGAGCCGTAAAGAGGCTCTTGCATCTCCCGGGGGCGCGACAGATTGCCTGACGATGACCGGTAACCGCCGCCGCCATTTCTTGTCTTGATTGTACTCAGCGTGTACGTGCAATATGCGCATCGCAAGTGACCGCAGCTTGGGCAGTACGGGTCCAAGGTATAATTGAGGGGCCCATAGGTACAGTTGTCCTGTATTGAGGTCAGCAGATAGGCGCGTATGAACCGAACAACGCTTTTCCACTTACACAATACCAAACCTGGATGGCGGTTCCCTTAGACGATGACATTACTTTTGTGTTTTTCTTTTCTTGTCCTCAGCTTTTGGTTGTTGCTGCCGTACTTTTCTGTTGTTGTGGAGAGAAGCCTGAAAATCTGCTGACCCCGCTTCCCACATTTTGTATTGTGATTGGAGGGTACCTATGTTTGCAAAACCAAAGGCTGATCGCAAGGTACGTAGGTACCTGCCTGGCAGTTATGTCGTATGCAAGCCACCCGAGCTCCCTCAAGATAGGCTGGCGTAAGGTAAGCGGTCTATCGGTTCGTCAAAAACTTTTTGGAATCTCTTACAAGCTCAGGGCGTTAAGGTAATGTAGATAGTTTCGCCATCAATACAGGTTAAGTGAAGAAGTATGTAGGTATTATGCTATTGACGACTTATATTTACGTATCGCTTGATGTGCCCGGTTCATCTGCTTTTTGGAAACTTACGCCAGTTTAACTTAGGAACAGGTCTGTTTGCTTGCTGCCCAGACTGATTTGATAGGGGTGAGCGCGGCGCTTGCAGTATGTGGCTGGGGCGAAGATGAGCGGCTCCAGGGAGGTGCTGAGCCGAGCCTGGCTCCTCTCGTGCTCATCAGCCACCATGGCAATGCATCCACCAGCTACTGTAGGTATTTTGTTTTGGAATGTTCAATCTGCAGCCACATCAGATGTACGTCGGATATTGGTAGCGGGATCTGACCACCTATCAATGTGTCTAATGTAGAAGTTTATATTCCACAACTTAATCATACCGATCGTTGATCGATGTGATCATATCCTAGGTACTGAAGCTACATTAAATTTCCGTCTGTAACTATTACTGTTTACCTGACTCTCCTATTACTCCTGCCTTGATTCAACACCTTTCACCCAAAAGTCGCCAACAGTAACCGAGCTATAAACCCCCAACTTCCAAGGATCTCTCGGGTTGCCAACCTGAAAGTCAAAGTTCCTCAAAACCTCCACAAAGACCTTGTTCAGCTGAACCCAAGCAAGCATCCGCCCCGGGCATTGCCATCTTCCATGACCAAAGATGACTTCGATGTGTCGGACCATCAAGCTGCGGTGTTCCGGTCCTCGAGTGTTTTCAATCAACCACCTCTCTGGCCGGAAAACATCGACGTCATCCCCAAACACCTTTTTGCTTCGTTGAATGGCGAGGTTGTTAGGAAAGATGTCTGTTCCACCAGGGACGTGTATGCCACAAATCATGTCTCCCTCCGCGGGTACTCTCTTGGGAAAGCCGAAAGCAGAGATGGGCATCATGCGGAGGCCCTCGTGGATAACAGCTTGCATGTACGGTAATTTGAGAGCCTGTTGGTTTGTGATGGGTTCTGAGATGGCTCCGGTCTTGATGGCGGTTGTGATCTCGTCTTTGAGCTTGGAATAGACGAGTGGAGAGGTGATGAGATAGAGGAAGATGGTTCGCATGGGCACGGCAACGGTGTCCGCCCCTGCTATCACGCCGAGGATGACATCAAGCTCGCATTCGCGTGAGGTAAGTCCTTGAGAGATCCAGTCGGCCTGTCATTCTTTTGTCAACCTGCGCTCTTAACCGGTTACCGACGGGACTTTGACATACCAACATATCGCCCTTCTTGGATTCGGGATCCCTAAAACGCTTGGAAACCTCTTCTCTCACCAGGCTTTGTTGTTCAGTATCTGGTTCTTTTTTTTTCTTCGTCTTCATTCTGGACAGACTTACGAAATGAACTTGCCCAAACCATGATTATCCGTCACCTTCGGCCCAGCCTTGCGAATGAACCACCAGCTGCTCGTAAGCCACCTCAGACTCCCCCAACTTCCAACAGTATGGATGTAAGGCGTAGAATAATCCGACATCTCGAAGAACTTGTGAATATCACTATCCGTCTGAAGGTCTCCCCTGAACCATGTCCGTTAGCTTCCATCATCAACACTTTCCAAAGACGAAACTTACCATGCCTCACCCATCAAAGCCTCCACCATAACATCCGCACTAAAATATCTCATCACATTCGTCCAGTTAATCTCCCTCCCCTGCTTGACATACTTCTCCCTCAACAACCTCACCAACTCCACCAAATGCTTATCCACAACCTTATCCATCCACCCCTTATCCTGCCCCTTCCCCCTCCCTTCATACCCCTTAATCAGTTTCGCCTTCCGCACATCATGCTCCGCAGTATCCATCAACGAAACAACCGAGTCCCCCCCATCAACATCAAACCGGATAGTAGTATACCAATCGCTCTTCACATACGGTGACCGCACCCCGTTGATGCGGACAACCTCGTCAAAGTCGCCGACGAGAAGATCGTTCGGGCCGATGCGACAGACAGGGCCGTACTTGTAGGTAAGTTTCTGGAGAGTGCTGAGCATCTTTCCTCGGGCGACACTGCCCACGAACCAGACGTAGGTGAAGTGCGCCAAGAACGGGCCGTTGATGTGTCGGAGTTTGAGATAGGATCGGACATTGGAGATGAGGAGGTAGAGGGCAAAAGGAACCGAGAGGAGGAGGTAAGGGTGGACATCCCAGGCCGCTTGGAGATGCGGGACTGTGGTTGAGAGAAGCGTCATCGTGGGGGAGGAGCGGAGTGGCTTCGGTGCCACCGAAACCTCAAAGAGCAACCAAGCTGTTGTTGTGTGGAAAGAACCAGACTGGGGAGAGCGGGCTTCATCAGGTCTTAAAGGCCCCGAGACCCCTCGTCTCACACACGATGCCCAAATATGTCCCTGTCACAGCCTTGGTGCGGGGCAGAGCTCGACAAACAGGCATTCTGTGGGCGAATTCTCCGAACCCTGTCTGTTGATAGTTGCCTATCCATATCGGGCTGTGACATCTGTACAATCGGTTAGGTTGCATGCGACATGATTGAGTCTATTTGCGAAGGACCGCATTAAACGGGCCTATCAGTGAGCTACCCGAGTTCTTGGCAATAGGATAAGGTGATGATAGGTCCAATCGTGGATAGGCGGCTTGCAGCGTCTTCGATAGACGCATGCAGGTTCATGTGTCTTGGACTGCAGGAGGGGTCCATGTTGGGTGTGTTCATAGGGCTGAGCAGTCAGCAAATGAAACAGTTGCGAGTGTCATCACGAGAACACTTGAATCAACGGAAGTCAAAAAGATTGTCAAAAACAAATGCAAAAAGTATCGTCGAAGACGGGAATTGAGCCCGACGTGGGGGTCGAACCCACAACCTTGAGATTACCGGAGTACTCCATAAGAGTCTCACGCTCTACCGATTGAGCTAGCCGGGCAGGCTAGTATTTGATATGCATCAGGACCGGAAGTAGCACCTACATGCAGTAACAAAACAAAAACGACCTCTGATTATGTTATGTATATGCCAACAACCTCCCTTCAACACCTCGAGCGGCTCAAAAAGCCATCTTTAGTTTCAACGGAGGGAGAGGCGGGACCTGTCGAATGGGTGCCATCTCCCATCCCCAAGCCATCGGTGTCCTGTTCTGAAAGACACCCTCAAAAGCTTCCCGAGCACCTCGGATCGCCTCGAAGCCCTTTGTAAGGACATCTTGCTGAAAGTCTTGCAGAGTCGACTTGAGAGATGCCTCATCTGAGGTGTCAATCGTTCCCAGAACCTTGCTGAGTTGTACTGCGTCCCGTATCGCTACGACGGCGCCCTCTCCGCGCGCTAGACAAGTTGACATCAGCATCTCGGACTTGTCCTTTCCCCAAACAACACTCACCGGGTGTCATGGGGTGAGCCGCATCACCTATCAGTACAACTCGCGACGTCTTGAGGTCTTTTATGCCCTTGACCGCAGAATACCAGATGGACCACTACTTCACGTTAGCATGCGCTATCATCAAGAAGATGGAAACACACACAGCAGAACTCTTCAGCCCTTCCACAGACGTCTTTTCGACAACAATCTTAAACTCCTCCCTCATCTCCTTTATCTCCTCCTTTGCCATCGCCAGCTTCTCCTCATCGGTCATTGTCTTCGTCCAATGCTTCTCATCGGCCACATCCTTGTCAAACCGACTCAAAATCCAGTAATACTCCCCCTTCATCCCCTCCACATCCCCCTCTTCATCAGCCTTGACATTTACCAGCTTATTCAACCCAACAAACAACCCCCACTCCTTCCCAACAGAAACATAAGCCGAGTGCCCATTCCTCAACTGCCGCTTCACTTCCTCCCCCTCAAGCACCACATCCCCAGCCACCACCGCAGCGGGAAATTGCTGTAGCTGGATACAGTCGAGACCGTTAGGGATGCACTTCCTCACTATTTTGATGTCAGCACCATCCCAGTCACTCAGAAAAGCTCAACCAAAAAAGACATACCACCACTAAAAATCCCATCGCACCCCACCACCAACCCCCCCCTCACCACCTCCCCACTCTCAAACCTCACAACCACCCCCTCCCCCTCCTCCCAAACTCCCACCGCCTTCCTCCCCCACCTAATCTCCAGATGCCTCCCCAACATCTCCCTCAGCTTCGCCCGACTAACCCTTACACACGGCGTCTCCTCCCCATCCTGAACCCTAAACGCAATCCCATTCGGCAGGTAGGTCATCAGCTGAGAAGGGAGATCAAGCGGGAGCAAGTGACACGTCGACCACACTGAAGGGAGATCGTCAGGTAGATACTTGACAAAGAGGTTTTCTGGACTGGATCACACACACTCCTCCATTAGTGAAAGGGTCAGGGTAATAGGGGAAGACGTAAGTACTCATGCAAACCAAGACAATACCCCCCCTTCCTCACCGCAGGACCCTCATCCCGCTCAAAGATTTCAAACGAAATCCCCTGTTTCCGTAGACACTGCGCCAGCACCAGCCCGCTGATCCCAGCGCCGATGATGATGACGTGGAGTTTTGGTCGTGAAGAGGTCATGTCGCGGTAAGGGTTGGGGAAAACTAAGGGGACATATCAGCAGTATGAGTGACAGCAGGTTTAAATAGATCAGACAGTTGCACAAATGTCAGCATCCATGCCCGCCTGCCTGTAGATCTTCGACAGCGGGGTAAATAGAGTGTCATCATGCACGGGATTACCGGAGACAATCAGTTTCAAGTCCGGTTCGGCGTCCCGATTTGTCTGGCCGGCGAACGGCATGCAGATATCGGAAGTAATATGCGCTGTGTAACAGAGCGATAATTGCCTTTATTGGCGGCTTCGGAATCAAAAGAGACCATGTTTGTGTCGGTGGTAATCCGGCTGGCCGACTCGTGAAAATGCCAAGGTAGCAAGAATAATCGGGTGCATAAAGAGAAGTACGACTTGTGTGGTAAATCAAGCGGTGCCGTGGCACCATGGTATCATCAACTATAACCAAACCCCCGCCCCCCCCACACCCAAAAAAAAAAAGTTATTCATTACTCCAACGCTTCGTCTGACAATTCGTAACACATACAATCGACCGGCACTCTACACGCGGTCGTTGTTGTCGGTAACGACAACACCCTCTTCCTCCGAAACAACACCATCGTCCTCCACCTTGGCGAGCTTTTGGATAATGGGAGCAGCGAACAGATCACCGCTCACGTTGAGGGCGGTTCTGAAGCGGTCAATGAACCAATCGATGGCGACAACGACGGCGTACATGCCGGTAATCTCGACGTTGACACTGGTGGCAATCATGACGGTCAAGACGAGAGACGAGCTAGGAATGGGCGTGGTTCCGATCGAGGCAAGGGTGGAGAGCAGGACGATGATGACATAGTCGGCACCGGTAAGCTCGTGGCCCTGAGTGGCGGCAAGGAAGACAACGACAGCCGGGAAGTAAATAGCAGTACTGATGACACGAGTTAGCAGGCGTCGGGGGAAAGATTTGACAAGTGTCATAAAAACTTACCCATCCATGTTGATCAAGCAACCCAGGGGCAGGGTGAACTTGGCAAGACCATCGGGGATACCAGTGCGCTTGGCACACTTCATGGTGACCGGGAGCGTAGCGGCACTGGAAGCAGTACCCCAGGCAGTAATCCAGGCAGGCGACTGCTTCATCCAGTAGCTGTAAGGGTTGCGGCGGAGGATGAGGAAGAAGAGGAGCGGCAACACTACAAACAGGTGGAAGAACATGCCGACAAGCGAAGAGCCAATCAGGACACCCAAGTTCTGGGCGATACTGGCAATGTCGAGTCTGAAGAGGTTGGGCAGGATGAGGAAGAAAACACCAATAGGCGCAGCCTTGATCAACCAGGTGATGATGATGGTAATGAGCTCCTCAATCTCCTTGACGACCTTGAGGAGCGGCGAGTTGGGCTTCAGAAGGTATCCAACGATGACGGAGGTGACGAGGATGGCGAGGAGACCGTCTTCGGCGAGCGACTTGACAACGTTTTGAGGGATGAAGGACTCAAACATCTGCTTGACAACGTCGTGAATCTTGGTCTCAGTTCTCTCCTTGATCATGTCCTGGTCATCCTCATCGGTAACCTCCAGAGATTTGGCATCCATAACCTGCATGAGACGGATCCAACCGACGGCCACTGCAATAGTTGAGTGCACAATGGCGAGCAGGGTCGTGAGCACGTAGTATGACACGGACCACTTCGCAACCACAGCACCACCGCCCGTGGACATTGCCCTCAACTTTTGAACAGCGAGAATCATGGCGCAGATAATCAAGGGAAGCACTAGGAACACACTGTTAGCATGCGACGGAGACATTTCGGAATATGAGCATCTTACCAACAGCTCTGAGAGCACGCAACCAGAGCACACCTGGGATACCGATAATGACAGTAGCCGCCTGGGGAATGTTTTTGCTGCCAACCGTGGAGGTAACAGCCATGCCAATGGCGATAGCCAAGATGGCGGCCGTCACGATTTGGAGCGCATGGCCAGGTTCCTTGATGCCGTGCCACCACTTGCGGTTGGGATCTCTTTCGAACATGGGCTCCTCATTCTGGCTCGGGTTAGAAGAGGACTGCTGGATGCCCTCAGCCGAGACGTGCTTGGACGTCTCGTGCTCGTGCTTCTCCGACATGGCTGTTGATGTAGTCTGGAGTTGTCCTATGTGAGAAGAGGGTGTTGGTGACGGTGGGGCCGGAAGGGGGGGGGAGACGGAGGTGGTTATGGAGTAGTGGCAGAACCTCGACGCGCAAGAACAAAAGATCCCAAGGTTCTGGTTCGGGGGTTGCAGGCAGGATATGTACACAGAGGTCGCCCCACCTCCTGATATGGTATACCATGGTCCGATCAACGACCACCACTGGGCGTTAGCTTGCAGGCGGTGGCACTCATGAATGCCACTCTACACTACGGGAGCAGCCCAGAACGTCAGCAATCATGGGCTTGCTTTTGGAAGGTGCGATTGTAGCCGTGTCCAGGCCCGCATCTGCCAAGGGATTGCGACGTTTAACAGGCATTGGGTTTGCCCCGGGGGGTCAACGGGAAAGGAAGGTGATGGACGGGCAGAACAGCGTTGTCCAAGATAAGATGTTCGTTTCTCGTCTTGGCTTATGGGTAAAACGGCATGCCAACTGTTGATCCCTGTCGGTTCGGATCCATTTCAACGTGCCCGCCCACTGAGATGCCGTGTTGAGGCGGCGCCGAGCCCGCCGAGACGCGCCGAGCCTTGTTAGCGGCCTCTTACCGGACGAGGCCCTCTGGGCGGTGGGGCACGCCACCGACATGCTGACGACCTTGCATCCATGTTGGCTCGCGGGTTACTTTTAAAGGAGGAGGAAGGCGAGCGTGATGAACGAGGCTGTCGGTGAGCAGAAGGGCAGATATCGTCAGTTGAGCATGCCATGACTGCCATGTGGACGGAGAACCATCTCTTTCGAGCATGTCCAGCGAAGCCCAGCGGTGCCGAGAACCGTACTAGAGACCGGTCTTATCTATGTGTCTATTAGTTGTTTTTATACTCGTCTGGGTGGGTTATTCCTGATGGCTTTCAGTCGTGTTGATAGAGTTTGCGCTCTGACTGTCGGGCGCACGTTTTGCCGCGACTATGACCAGGGGGATCAATGGGTCGGCGGGCGCTGGACTCTCCACCATGGAGAAACTTTGTTTCGGGCAAGCTTCCCATAGCGAGCTGTTGATATCTGTCTGCAAGGAACGGGGAAATGGCCGGCTGCGATGTCGTGTGGTTTTTCGGGAAAATGTATGTAGCCAAGGGTTCAGAAATCTCCACATTGGGCTGTCGGCAGCCTGCTGCTGCTCGGTCGCTCGAATCGGTTTAGCGCAGAGTGAAGTTCTTGCCTGTTGAGCCGCCGTCACCCTGTCTTTCTGTCTTGGGCTTCCATGTCTCTGATGTATGCAGTTGCGGCTTAATACTGAATCTGTTGGTCATGGAAATGCGACACTTCCACTTGGATCTTCCCTGGATGTGTTCACCGGAAAGCATCGGTCATTGGCAACCCTGGGATTGCCCAGCCAGCCACCGACGTCTTTCCTTGCACATCTGAACTCCCGTCCACGCTAAGGCAACTGTGTGAGATGCCAAGCCGCCAATCGGGGACAGACAAGCTTCCCCGCAAACAGCCTTGGCGCCACGAACGCGGGATGTCGCCATCCCATTTCCTTTCGCCCTTGCAATGCCATCACATGGGATCCTTCCTGATCAGTTCTGGTCACCTCAGTATTTTTGCAAAGAGATCCTTCCACTCGACATGTGCTGACACTCGGCTGTTTTGACATGAGATATCGACACCGAGTCTGGGATGTTCAGATGTAGTGTAGTGTTCCCGAGTGGTGAGCTGCCAAGAGGACCGGCCGTTTCTAGAAGTCTTCCGGCGAGCTTTGGGACGGAAGCCAAGCGCAGTGGATACTTATCTGCTTATCGACTGCAACAGGGCATTTGCACATGCTTACATGTTCCTGCCCTGGGCTCGGACCACCAACCAAGCTTAACCTTGATCCTGCTGATACGGTACCACCTCACCTTGATAGCAGGTGCACCCTGGTGACCCTGTCACTCCTGGATGACAGGTCGATAGCTCATCCTCAGCCAAGCCGCTATCCAACTTTTGCAGAAGGTGCAAGACATGAGTGATAGACGACCTGCCAGTTGGCTGACCAGCTCCGCAAGGCAATGTATGATTCGGTTGACAAGGCAGTCCTATCCATTAGCATGCACATTTCCGGTCTCCCCAGGTTACACTTTGCAGTGTTGGACACCCAACCACGCGGTTCGAATCAAGCACATGCAAGTGAGCACATATTGGGGCAACGCTGCAATACAACTTGATCGACACAGCTTGACCGACAGCTTGGGTTTTATGTAGACTTCCAGAAGCTTGAGTGCCGCATTCCATGACCCCTTTCACCGTGTTATGTCCTGTGCTACCATGGGCCGGACCGAGCCACCTTCTGGGGTATGATGTATCTTACCACGTCTATCTTCGGTGTGCGTCCCTGTCTCCGTCTCACCGTCACGCGACAAAATACCACATCCGGACACCAGATCGCAAGTGGACATGATGTGTACATGCATCGGGTATCAATCTTATTAAACTTACATATCCTAGAATAATAATACTACACTCGCTTCAACAAAAGAAAAACACTAGTAGCTGCTCGTCTGCTTGCTCGGTTCCCAAAAGCCAAATATCAACAGACCAAAAAGACACCATCAGATTCGCAGACCAAACAAAAACTCAGCCCAACTCAAACCATCTGATCACCCCTCCCATCATACCGCCCAACGCTTCCTGTTCCCCTCGCCACCGCCGGATCAGGATGAGCAACACCATTCCCATACCCATTCACCGGTGGCGCCACTCTCGAGTGAGGACTCACCGCGCTCCCATTCCTCGCATACGTCTCACTGCTCCTTCCACTGGCCAACCCCTTCTTCTCCACCGGCCCCCTCACACTCCCCCTCCCCACCCTCGTGCCCTTCCTCCTCCCCCAACCCAGCTTCTTTGTCCAGGTAGCCTTGTGATACGTAGGCAACAACCGATCACCCTCCATCTCATACCCAAACGGCGCCGCCCTCTTCAACGGCACATGATTCCACCTCCAATCCCAAACCGCCGCGTACACCAACCGATAACAGGCAATACTCGTCCCGATCCCAATGATACTCCCCGCCAAAATATCATACCAATGATGTGCCTGATCAACCGTCAAACAACTCGCCAGCAATGTCGCCCCCAACACCGGCGCAGTCAACAAGACCAACCAGTAAAAGCTCGTTTGGTAGTTACCCCAAACCTTGAGCTTCGCGTTCATCCACAAAAACAAAAACCCATACCCCGCCCACGCACTTGTGGCATGGCCAGAAGGGAAGCTCGTTATAGCCGTCTTGATCGCCGCCTTGTCCGGGTTGGTGCAGATTTCGATCGTGTACATGATCTGCTGAAACCCAACACCATTCAACCCCGTCGCATTATTACTCGACGCAAGGGAGATATCCGGCTGGCAAATATCCAAAAAATACGGCCTGAACCCCCCAATCAAATTCTTGATAACAACCTGGAAGAAACTCGACAAGATCATCGAGTACAACAGCCCCAAAACAGCATTGTTTAAGTCCCAGAATGACTTGATCCTGATTTGCGCCAGGAAAATAACCCCAAGCGGGATCACAACCGCGATAACGCCCGAAAGTTGCGGGCTGATGATCCACCCGCGGTGAGGGTAGGCGAGTTCGGGGTAGACGATATCGCCAGACTGGTTGAAGGTGATGGGGAAATTGCGGGTGGAGGCATAGGGAGCTTGGTAGATCTACCATCACAACAAACATCAGTATCATGACCAGGCAAGTCAGCACCAAAAACAAAAAAGAAAACTCACCCCCAAAGCAGCACCCCCAAAAACAGCCATCGCAAGCAAATCCTTCCACGAGACCAAAATCCACCTCTTGACGAACTGCATCAACCGCGACGACTTGCTCCCCTTGGCATTCGTACTCCCCGCAGCCGTCGTGCCAGCAGTACCATTAGAAATAGCCTCATCCAAAGCGCGGGACTCGCGACGCCGGTCGCGGCCCCGTTGGTAGAATTTCGGAAGCCCCGATGACATGGCGTCCTATCCTGTGGTTGCCCTTGTCGAAGTGTAATGTCTTGGCGTATGGTGGGTGATATTCACAACAAAAATCTCGCGCGCGCCCAGAAAGCCGCAGTCTTAGCTATCTCTTTTGAAGATCCCTAACAAACAACAAGATATACAAGTGTGGAAAAAACAAAAGTACAAAAAGGTCTGGAACACCCACCCAACGCCCATTTTGTGTCCGTCCCCTCTCTTGTCCAGCCCGACACCCTCTGCCAGAATTTCCTTGGTCTTGGTCACAAAAAGCCGCCCATCTGTGTCGTCATTGCTCTTTTTCCCGCTCGTGTTTCATTAATGCCCGTCAAATCAACGAGTGATGCCATGTGGCTTGCGGCGGCAGATCGATCAGAGCACTGCATGACGTCATTACACCAGCCAGCCTTGGCACTGCAAGTGCACCGCCGGTCCTTTGACCACGGCTCACTCACCGTTGGACAAGACGGACGGGCTTTTTGTCAGAGGAAAGCATATGATTGGGTCATTTGGGGAAATGAGTCGTCACAACCGTCTTCTGGGGAGCCCTGGAAGACAGATGATGAAAGGGCCTCCATAGATGAGATCGTATAGGATGTAAGACCTATCAAACGCCACTGCGTAGGTAATCAAAAGGCGTTGAAAATATACCAACAGGCGTTTAGAGATATAAGCACGAGGGGTGTCAAAATGATTGAGGGGTATGCTAACCTTCAATGGGCTGTCAAGGGTAGCAAGACGAGTGAAGCCCGTCTTTCAAGGTCTAATCCATATCAATTAAGGTATACTACGAGACGATGCTTGCCATTCAGCTACGCCCGGCGAATCAACAGTTCTCCAGGCCCACAATAATACTCCAGCCACCTTCATGCCACACCTGTCCCGATACCCTGTCCAACGCCGATGCGTCCTTTACCAGTGTGTTGAGCCCGGGCCTGACGCACATCTGGGCAAGGTGTTCCGCACCGTCAGCCAGGGTCTTCATAGACTTGAGACGCTGTACACGCTGGATCTGTATAACCTCATCAGCTCTCGACCAAGACCCCAGGCATAAAAAAACACCCACGTTATTGCACCATTTGATGGCCGAGTCCCACGCACAGCTGACACGACCACAAGTACCAGGTGCAAGTTCGGGCACCTCGAACGGAAGTCTCCGAAGATACTCGATTCCAGTCCTGATATGTCGCCTCGGTGCGTATCTCAGTGGTTCACCACACTCAGTCCTCTTGCCCTCAAAGTTGACCTCATCCTAGAAGGGTGCTTGAAGTGGGGGGGACCAGGGGTCTTCGTCCGGGAGATGCCCAGGCACGAATTCCTTGTCGAAGGACGGGTTAATCTTGAGAACGTGGTCGTAAACCTGCTCAATGGTGCCGTTCACGTGGATAAATGGGCCGTTGGGAAATGCTTGGACCGTCCATTGGAGGTCAACATCGCGACGGACTGGATAGGAGGAGGGGGATGGACTGCCGAGGACGATGCTCTGCTAGAATACAGGTGTTGGGAGGGTGACGGAACTCAGGGATATCATGCCTCACATACCGCGAACGAGAGGAGGCCGACCGTGGCGAGCTTCATGGTGGAGCTGATGACTGAGATGGGAGAAGAGTTGGAGAGACAGATAACCTGGATAATGTATACAGAGAAGTGATGCCGAGAGACGATTGGAGAGGAGTGTCGACCTGGCGTTGATGGTTGCAGGAGGAAAATGCAGTTTGGCGCAGAGTGCAAGCTAGAAATAGTTCGGTGTCGCCGTCTCTCAATGTGGTGCTTTCCCACGACTGGAAGCCAACACTCCGTCAGACGATGACAGCCTGGCTTTTGGGCAGCGACGTAGGGGAGTGCGTCATGTCATCAGGGAGGACCTTTCCTCAGGCTTTAGACTGGAAAAAGAATGGGAAAGGGCTACGTTGTGCAAAGTACCTAAGGGAGGTGATCACCCCTTTCATTGCAACGCGATGGCTGCCCGACATCAATCACCTTTGGAACTTGGAGTTTACCTCCACACCCACTGCCATCAATCGGGACCACACACGATTCAATCGGGTATGGTGTAGCGGTAACATCGTTGACTCTCACTTCTCAGAAGTGTCTGTTCTCTCAACAGCCCCGGGTTCGACTCCCGGTATCCGAGTCTCTTTTTTCCATTGTCAAGCTTGCATCTTTTTAACCCCCTCTCTCGTTTAAAGCCGTAAAAGGAATGGGCATTTTCTTCTCCCATGGCAAAGTTTAACTAAGCGCATTACTTCTAAGGATGCTTGGCAGCAAAAAGAGCAGATCAACAGTGGTTGATAAAAGGTGTTGTAGATCCAAGGATCAACATATCAGATGCATCAGCCGTGAATCGAACACGGGGCCCATCGATGGCAACGATGGATTTTACCACTAAACCACTGATGCTTGGATTTGATGAAGGTACTTGGCCAGTAATTGTCTTTCTAAACTCTGGACGTGGCATGGTTTTGAAAAGGCTCACACAACGACAATCTCCTTCCACTCCGAAACACCATCATCAAACCAGTACGGCTCGGCCACATCCGCGCCAAAGTATGCCTGGCCCACACGGCGAAAGATTTCGTCCGAGAGATCAGGATGCTCTCTCCCATCAACCTTGTCAAGCAACAGCCCCTGACCACGATCAAACCCATCCCGGAAGAAGGTGCAAATTTCAAGACACCAAAATTCCACCTCCGAATCCTTCGGCCACTCACCAACAAAATCCACGGTCAACGACAGGCGGTTATCAAACCCGTACGGTTCATCCGGCCACCTGCTAGCAGCATCCTCCGCTGCGCGTCCAGCATGCCCGGCCCGAATTCCACTGCTCGACCACAAAACCTTGCGCATCCTGCCACGAAGCCGCATAAAACCGTTACCCACCCTCCCAAAACGATTCCTCGTCGACACCAGCGTCGTCTCAACATGAAGCAGCGAACAAGAAAACTTCAGATTGAGGCGCTCCTTGGTAAATCCATGCACCGCGCCATCAACCGAAGCCCACGACCAAGACGGAGCTCTATACACCCCCTTCGGCCTCACCGCGGTATTGAAGCTTACTTGCCAAAGACACTGATGCAGAAAGTCTTCCTTCCATAGCCCAGCATAATATTCCGTGACTGGCTTGGTGAGGGAGTACTCCTCCGCAATAGCCGAGACAGCAGGGAGCTTATCCAACCCATCAGTGAGAAACCGCTGGCTATACTTGAAGACGATTGTCTCCCAACCAAACGGGTGTTCATCCCGCCCCAGATTTTGATTTCCCGGGTCGAGATTCTCCACCATTTGTGCTGCAGGATCGTCGCTCGTGTCGCGCAGGTAGATTGAAGCCGGTGGCGGATCGAACACATGCTCGTATCCACCATCCCGATGCCTGGCCTCTAAACACGAGTACACCAATTCATGCATGCCATACGCCAGTATCCTTGTCGAGAGCTGCGTCTCCTGAAATGTCCAACCGCGAGTAAAGAGGTTATAGTCACTGAGGGTATCGTGCTTTGGAAAGGCAAGGATCTCCCCAAAGACGTTGTCATCCAGCCGGGCGGAGATGATGGAGGGCTGGTACTTTGCTCTTGGGGCGAGAAAACCGTCAAGGCTGGTCACTGCCTTTGCTGCGACGATGGTGAAGGAGGCGCCGAGGTAGATGCGGTGCATCTGGGATATCTGCTCGTCTCTGTCCTCATCGTCGTCTTGAACGATTGCCATGGCGTCTACCCAGAGGTAGCGGAGGCCGATACCGTGTGTTACTGTCAACGCATCCTGAAGCGTTTGGGGTAGGATACCCATTAGGATTTCTTTCTCGTAGGTACCCAAAACACTTCTGATGGTCTTGGACTTTTGGTCACCGCCCCAGCAGTAGCTCAGCGCGGCATAACGACCTGGCGTGGGGTTTGTGACCAATCGAGCGCAAAGACTCCCCGAAGCTGCGGTAGTGGTCACTTCGATGAGCCTTTTGGGCATGTAAGCTCGCTGGAATGCGTTGCATAGTTTGTGGTTCCGGAGGCATTCGTTTAGCCAGCCTCGAACACGGGTGAAGCTGAGTTGGGAGTTGGGAACAAGGTTCGGTGGGAGCTGATACCCAAGAAAAGGGTGCAAAGCCTTTTGTCCTGGGATGGTGTACAGGGAGAACTCTCGAAACTCTCCTTTCCGTCGTCCAGGGTAGAGTCTGCATCGGCCATTTTGCATCACTATCTCGAAAGGAATCCTGCCAGGAGAGGAACCCCATACATCGTTTCGTATCGCATAAGCGGGGTCGTCATCAGCGAGGAGGTATCTGTAGAACGCGCATCCTTTGTGGCTGGCGGCTCTTGCTTGGTCGACAGTCAAGGGAAACTTTCTATTGGCGGTCGTCCACCCTTCTCGGGCCCAAGCATCCCCACGGAACGTGACGCGGGCTAGTTGCCTGCGCAAATCAACGGCTATTGCAACGCAGTGCGGGCAGGAATGTGGTTTGGCGAGGGGATGACTTTGCGCTTCCAGCTGATGGCGTAGTATCGAGCTTGACGGCGTTGTGTCGTGGTTCTCTTTGGTTTCGGCTGGAGGCCCTCGATGTGCTATCCGATGGCGTTTCGGCAAGTCGTCTGCAGAGTCCGAATTCTCGGACTCGTGGAATTCTGGACGGACAAATGATGGAGGGAGTCGAAAGTGTGGCTAGGTAATTCATTATTAGAGATCTGAGATACCTGTGTGGAAATTGGAAACTCACCCAAGGTTGGCTATCTTTGGTTTGGTGTCGTCTCTTTGCTTTGGCTGCCCTGGCACCCACTTGGGAAACTGAGTCGCCGTCAGAGCTGCCATGATCAGTTGCAAGCGTTTGCATGGTGGTGTGTAGTGCTTTCCAATTTGTGTCAGGTATCCTGAGCAGGGCCAACCAGGCAGCGGCGTGCGGGGTTGAAGCCAAACGGAGCTCAACCCAGGCAACCAATTTTCTCGGTGTTTGTTTGGCACTCTTTTCCCTGGCCACACCTCTTATTTAGCACAGCAACAATGCCACTTATTATAAGGCTCCCGTCAGAGATCATGGACAATATATGCGGCAACTTGGACTCTCACAACACTCTGTCCTCGATTCGTGCATCATGCCGCGTCCTGAAAGCAGCGGCAGATCGACACGCGTTTCGACACATCAAGTTTTGCATGCACCATGAGGACTTTGACGTCTTACGAAGCATCGTCAACGATTATCGCGCCGAGCATGTTCAGTCGCTGACATACAACACTCGAATCATGAGGAGATACCAGTCTAACAACAACGATATTCCATATGATCCATACGATGATGAGCTTCCAGATATCTTTCATCTCGCCGACATCCACCGTCCGCCGGTCGATGAAGCCTGGATCGCGGCAATGAGAGATGTTGTCGACAGCATACATCGCGATCAGGTTCAAATTTTGGCAGTGGGCGAAGACTTTGACTTTCTCCGAGAGGTGGTCCCCAAATTCCCCAATCTCCGGGAGATCATCGTTGCGGGCGATTATCCAGACAGTAACAGGCACCGGAACAGGGAGCCCAACGCCACGAAACCCATACTGAGGATACCGGCATACCAATGCCTCAACCTGGATATGACAGGCGTGTCACATGTGGAGGGGACAGCTCGACATTTGCGAGCCATCTTAGAAGCAGTCCAGGCAACTGGCGGGTCACCCCCACGTCTCATCTCTATTCAGGTGGGCTTCCTCAGCCTCCTAGCGACAGATGAAAATTTTGAGCGTTCCGATATGCCGTCTGCGCTCCCGCCTTGGCCATTTCCCCCGATCTACCCCTTACAAAATTCTCTGAGCACGCAGCTCTCGGTACTCACTCACTTTGGCATCTTGCTCGGCAATGAACGGCCATGGGTAGATGATCCACGCAAATGTTCGGTAGTCAAGAGTCCTCGCATCAATTTCGTCCACGACATCATTAAAACAATGCCGAATTTGCAATCTTTGACACTGGGTGTTAAGTATGAATTTGCGTGGCTTTATGACCTCATTCCCTATGATCATCATTGGGAAAGACTTCACACTGTTCACCTTACAAATATGGGGTTTGGCTACGAAACAATGCTCGACCTCCTCCTTCGACACAAGCAATCACTCAGAACCATTGTCTTGGAAACCTGTTGCGTGCGAGGGTGGGATGATGCCAAACGGCAACATATAGGCTGGGACCAGTTTATCCCTGATCTCAAAGCTGGGTTTTTGCCTCACTCGCTGGATTTTACTTTCTTCCACAGTCTTCGAGAAGAGGCCCAGGGTGCTTGGGATGTGGACCCTGAATGCATGCCGATGGTGCGCTCATATTTCAGAGACAAAAAGGCTTCAAAACTTGAGCCACTGCCGCGGATAAGCGACGAAAGAAGAGCAGGCAAGGTAAGTGTACTTGGCTGCATATCGGTGAACAAAGCAAACTGACAGAATTTAGATCACTCTCCAAAGGCCACTTGAGATTCTGAAAAGGACCTCCTTCTTTTCGTATGAAATGTGATTCTGGAGTGTAGGGGTTTTTGAGACGAGATCTACACATGTCTTGCTGTTGATCCGAGAGACATTGTATGAGTACCTTGTTGTTTAGGTTCAGCCGTCCTTTGTATCTGTTTTGTATAACAATAGGCACTTTTTGTCAGTCGCACAGTCAATGTTTCAGGGCCATGCATCTTCCTTTGTATAGACCAAAAAGTCCTGTACGCCGGAATGCTTCCCCGTAGGAATTCAACACAGACCACGAAATACCAGACAAGCTTTGGCCTTGTCCATTGTCCTCTCCGCGGGCTGCTTCCTCGCAGATCCATCCTTCATAAGTCCAGGGAGCCCATGAACCTTTGCCAACATCTACTCAGCAGCCTAAACCTTCACTGTTCGATTACTTCCATCAGTCAGCATCAAAGTGTATCATTTTTCAGTATCTCACAGAAACGCCATGCTTCACAACTATTCTCCGGACGGGGCAGACCCGTCAAGCTCCGGTGACCACCGTGCCCATAGCCTGGGGTACTGTCACCATGGGATTCACCGTCCCCTTCCGCCAAAGTCTCCAAGCCCTGTCCTGAATGACCCTCCTGCAGGAGCCCAAACATCCCGTCGAAGCCCACCAGTTGTGGAATACCCCGATTACGGGTATCTCACCCGCGCTCGAGAACTGCGCCGACAGCAAGCCGAGGAGCAGCGCCGAGCGGCAAACCAGCAACAGTGGGCTCACTACTGGCAAACCCAGGAAGAAAGAGGGCTGGCCAAAGCCCTGGAGGATTCCTTCATCACTGGAACCGCCCACCGTCTCTTTCTCAAAAACAAGGAGCGCGAAAAAGACCGGGTCCGTAGGGCTCAGGAGGCGTTCCTAAGAGAGCAGCAACGCCGTGACGCCGACTGGGCCCGAGAGCAATTATACATTGATCAGTACCACCAGCACGAGAAAGAGAAGATGGAGCGTCGAGAGAGAAGAAAGGAGAGAAAGGCGCAGCAGCAGCAGCAGCAGCGTGTTTCTTTTGTCACCCCAGTCTCGAGCCCCACTACTTCTGCTCCAGTTCCAGTGATTACATCGCCAACATCGACACATGCCAGCTTGACCTCGAGCGGGAACAGCACGGAGGAGATCAGCAATCCGGAGAATAAACAGCTGCAACGACTCGAACGACGGTTTCAGTTGCGACGTCCATCTCCTGAGAATGACAACCCGAGCACGGGGAGGGAATTGTACCAGAACCCGTTTATGGAACCCGCTTTATGGGGTTATCACTCCTCGCCTCCACCCGCTTCTCCCACGGAAACGACATCTCATACGATTTCGCTTTCTACCCTGCCGCCGAGAAGCCCGGTGTCATCGACCTCGTCGTATCTTCAGCATCACTCTGACAAAGAGAAGGAGGTCAAAGAGCAACAAAATGACAAGCAGCGTGCACAGGAGAGAGTTCACGACTGGTTCGGAGCTAGGGAGGGGGGCCGGTACAGATCTAGGAGTCATTTTAAGAAGGAGACAAGGCGTTCTCGATCTCGTTCGCGGTCAGGTAAGCTAGGTGATGGCTATCGTGAGACGGTTTGGGAAAGGGAGGAGAGGGAGATAAATGTGGCGGCTGAGCGGTGGGGTTTTGATGATGGCGATGGAGGCAAGACTGAGGGGTAGGTGGGCGGATAACGGTGGGAACGCCGGGGGTCGAGGCGAGTGGGAGGTGTATCGTGACTATTGATAGACAGAGGTTGGATGAAAGCTGGATTGAGGGATGATTGATGTTTTGTTTCCGCTGTAATTGTTGTATCGAAGTATCATTAAGCCTGCATAACCTTTTTCATTACATGGTGGCACAGCCCCGCACAAGGTCCCAACATCTCAGCATATTGTGGAGCATCAAGACCATCCCTTCGGCCAATCTTGTTGGCCGAAGGTGCTTACCCCTCCCAGAATGTGCTTGTTGGTTTAGTGGCAATCCTCTCAACATTTCCACTCAGCAACTACAGCGACAACCAAGTTAAGCATTGTCATCAGGTGTTTCCATCCTTCTTTTACATCGATATGGAGGACACAGCCCCGGCTATTGTGATTGATACTGGGTGAGTGATCCTCATGGCAAGGCCTTTGACGTGGCAGGAAAGACTGACTGATTATGATGTGCAACGTATAGATCTTTAATCATGAAGGCTGGCTTCGCTGGTGATGACTACCCAACCACCGTATTCCGTATGTATCTCAAACGGTCCAATACTGCAACAGAGGAACTGTTGACATCTGCACCAGCGTCTGTTGTCGGGAGACCAAAGGACCATAAGTGCGTCTGCGCCCCGGGCTGTCAGGGTGTTCCGGCTGACCATCCATCTTTACAGGACCTCCGCTGATGTTTGCGGCAAGGAAAACTATGTTGGTGACGAAGCTCAGTCGAAAAGAGGGATCCTCGAACTTTGCTACCCGATAGAACAAGGCGTCATCACAGACTGGCAGGACGTTGAAGCAATATGGCATCATGCACTCTACCACGAACTGCGTGTTGAGCCCCACGAGCACCCCATTTTGATGGAACATGCTCTTTTCACTCCCGATACCAGCAAGTAAGCTGCCACTATCTGACCGAATTAACCTGACGGAAAAACTGACTGTTCTTCCAGGGAAAAAATGACACAAATCATCTTTGAAACATTCAACGTTCCTGCCTTCCATGTGGCACTCAACCCATCGCTGGCACTCTACGGCATGGGAAGGACTACGGGGCTCGTGGTTAACTCTGGGGATAGCGTGACCCACGCAGTTCCATTAGTACATGGTGGCCATGAACGGCTTGGAGTCCCAGTCCGAGATTCGATAAGCAGACTTGACCTCGGTGGACGTCACATTACCGATTACATGATCAAGCTCCTGAGAGAAAGCGGCCACAACTTCGTCCCCACCACGAGGGAGCACGAGGTTGTCGAGAACCTCAAACATTTGCGTTGTTACACTGCGTTTGACTTTGAGAACGAGACACGATTGTGGGTGGAAAGGGAGTCAGGTCCTACGTTTCAGCTTCATGAAATCTCGCACGAGCTTCCTGATGGGCAGGTAATCAACCTGACCAACGAGCGTTTTCGAGGCCCTGAAGCTATGTTTCGGCCATCGGTACTAGGTCTTGAAAGCAGGGGAATACATGCTTTGGTGTGTGATGCCATCATGAAATGCGACTCCAGCATTCAAAAGGAACTGTTTGGTAGTATTTACCTGGCTGGTGGGAACATGATGTTTTCTGGATTCGCAGATAGGCTGCAGAAGGAGATCGTGGAAATGGCCCCGTCATATATGTCCGTCAAAGTTGTAGCCTCGCCTGGGATGAAATACCTGACGTGGGTGGGAGGTTCAGTGCTCGCGTCGTTGTCGACCTTTAAGGATATGTGCATATCAAGTCAGGAGTATGATGAGATGGGGCCGTCAGTCGTTCATCGGAAATGTTTGGCTTGAGGAAGATACAATTCTGAGGCAAGGTTGATATCACCTGGCATGTCAGCTGACGATAGTCGATGCCAAGGACTCCTCCTTCAGCTCAGCATTCAACCTGAGCCTGCTGAGCCTCACTGGCTTCAGGACGACCGTTAATACCTCAGCTCAACTTGACCGCGTTGTTCTTATTCCTCACAACCTGCCAAAAGAGAAACAAGATGACGGAATTCACATACAAGCATGCCCCTCTTGAACAGGGCCACATCCGCCTCCTCCGTCTAGAGTGGCCATGCTCGGAAAAACTTCAACCAGACCACCCCGCTCCAGACGGGTCAATCGCAGCAACACTCACCCACCATGATCTTTCCGGTCCCCCGCCTCCCTACACCGCCCTCTCCTACACTTGGGGTGACGAAAAAGAAAGGCTTCGCCCCCCTCAAACACTCAACATCGCCTCCCCTGACTCCACTCCCGAAACCTTCCCCATCCACCAGTCAAACCTCTACGCCTTCCTCCGCCAGGCCCGTCCTGACCTAGTCCCATCTCACAACGGAGCAACCTCCCGCCGGGCAGCCAACGTAGGCTACATCTGGATCGACGCAATCTGCATCAACCAAGCCGACGAAGAAATTGCCAAAAAAGAAAAGACCGCCCAGCTAAAGATCATGTCCCAGATCTACGCCTCCGCCTCCCGAATCATCATTTGGTTAGGTCCCGTCAGGGAACACAAGCTTACCCTTGACGCCCCCTTCCCGGAGAACCTCTGGCCTGCCTACCCGACAGGGCACGCAATGGATACCTACCAACGCGTCGCCGTTGCATGGGCGAACAGCCAGCTACCTGATATCTCGCCTACTTCTCTGTTAAAGATCGTGAACCAGGTGGACTGTGCCTGTCTCGAAGCTGTGACTCGGTTGAGCTACTGGAAGAGATCCTGGATTTATCAGGAAGCCTCCACACCGAATGTACCCCGTGAGTTCTGGATGGGTGGCCACGCGCTTTGGTTTGAAGCTTTGGAGGTGGCGAACGGGGTGTTTCATTCGCATATGTTGGAGTTGGGGTTGAATAAAATCCCTAGTCCGAGTCCGCTAAATGTTGATATTGCGTACCTGCAGGAACTAACCCTGCTCCGGCAACATGGGAAGGGGGGGCTGTCGTTGTTGGATTTGATGGTCAAGACTAATAGTCTTGATGCTCGATGGCCCGTGGACAAGGTTTATGCTATGATGAACATAGCGAGGGATATTTATGGGGAGAAAGACGGCGATATCTTCAATTCTGTGAGGGTAGATTATGAGCTGCCAACAGAGGATGTCTACATGGATGTGGCGACCTTGATCATCGAGACGACAAAGGAGCTGGATGTGCTGTTGTTTTGTTCAGCGGGGCAGTATAAAGGGCTCAAGAGCTGGGTGCCGAACTTTTATCGGTTTGTGTACTCTGTTCCTTATCGCACAACGGAGGTGTATGACGCAGGGGGAGGGAAATCATCGGGCAAAAAGCCACGGTTTTCTCTCAACAAGGTGGCGCAAACTCTGTCGGTGTGGGGAGTGAAGGTTGATGTGGTTGTTGGGATTTATCCTTCGATGAGGCGGCCATTGCAGTGGGGTGATTACACTTCCAAGACTGAGTTTTGGCAGCCAATCTTTGGGCCGTGGATAAGGTCGTTGGCGCGGTTCGTGTTCCCTCAGCCTGATGGAGACGTGGTTGAAGAGGCATATGTCGGTGGTGGAACTCTGTCGGAAGCTGTTGACTCGGCTTTGTCTTGGGGTATGGCGCCTGGTTATGGCACGTTGAAGCGTGATGTGGATGTGCCGCACTGGCCGCTGCTGGAACAGGCGCAAGCTTCAGCAAGTGAGAGGGAACCTGAAGAAATCTCTGTGGAGCGGCAGGGCTTCCAAGACTTTCTTATGCAAACCAGCGCAATGGCTTTTTTCAGGGCTTCAAGAGGCTATTTGGGTGTTGGGGATGAGAAGATGGCTGCTGGTGATGTGGTCGTTGTGGTACCTGGCTTGGCAGTACCTCTTGTTTTGCGAGCAATCCCCTCGTATGAGGCCGGTGGTTCAGCTGATGGAGCTCGGTGGCGGCTAGTTGGACCATGCTACGCCAAGGGGATCATGGATGGCGAGTGGCTTGGAAAGCGGGAGGAGCAGGAATTTATTCTTATCTAGCCTTACTGTGGAATAAACCTTTCACCACGCCAGCGACGCCAGTTAAACCCCAGCCCACATGCTAGGTATCTACACACGGTACTATCAAAATTCCAAGCTTCGAAGGTCCCGGGGATTTAAGTCCCGAGACCACGCACCCCATGAGCTCTTTGTTCTTCTGCTGCTTTTGAGCATCAAGGCTATCCTGTTTCAACCTCATCACAGCTAATGCATTCAACATGTGGATCTTACCACCATAGTATCACAAGCTACGGACAAAGGACATGCCTCCAACGCCAGTGTCCTATCCAGAGCTAACGCTCTGCGACCTGCCCAAAAAGACGTTCTACTACTATTCATATCTTGGTCCCAGCCTGATTTTGATTGGAGAAGTATGGCGCAAAAAGCAAGCGGAAACAGACTATTCTGGATTGCTCAGCAAGATAGTGTCAGACGTGTCACGGCGGTTCCCACAGGCGTCATGGGGACGTGCAATATCTGATACCAAGTTCGCCTTTTACGAGGACGGATCTACCAGTTGAATCAATCGCAAATCACTCATGATGAAGCAAAAAGATTTTCTGATCATCCCGCCGAAGACTTCCAATACTGGACTAGGAAGTTGTGACTGTGGCACGAACGTGCATCCCATCAGCCTGGAGACATTTCGTGGGCTTTATCAAACATATCATGGGCTCACCGCCATCTACTATCACCATTCGTGGAATGCGCAGTTTCCATTTGTTGGAGCGGAGGTTGAAAATCTCAAGGCTGTGAATACCTCCAGGGATACCAATCGCCATTCGCGGATTTTGACAAGACACTGGTATGTCTCCTAAGCCACGAGTTCGGCTGCCACTGCAAGGCTAGTGCTTACCAAGGAGCTATGTAAGTATCATGCAGACATACCTACTACCCATCTGCCTGCTCGCCGTACACTGAATGTATAGATAGCATGGGTTGCTCTCGCTGTTTCACAGACTTCTCACTGAGCAATAGCACCCACCCCAGGCACGAATCCCAGGCACCCGGCTTGGGGTCCGAGGTAGACCAAGCAGATCTGCATCGTTCTCACAACGTGGAAGCTGCTTGGGGACGGGAGAATCAATCATAGCCACTATGAACTGCTCAGATATAGCAACGATGATGACACACAGGTCGATAAGGGGGATTGGTACCCAAGCACAATATACCACGTATGGGAACGGACGACCCCGACCGGTCAGAAATTTCAGGGGAAGTCAACCATGAATGAGTATGTTCCCGACGTTTCCTGTGTTGGGGAAATCGCCGGGATTGTTCCATATGATCTCCGGGCTAACAACAGAATTCACAAACCATGAAGGATTGGTGGCTAAGTGGTACCGTACTGTTATGGGCCTAGGGCCTAGTGTTATTTGAAGGGTTGAAGGACAGGGCAAGATGAGGTGTCTAAGGAGGTGGTTTCAATTTCCACATGGCTTTTCCAGAGGCCGGTGGTCCGGCAAGGTGCCCTTTTCCACATGTATATATGGGAGTCCGCTCCCACTTAACGGACCTGTTTTCTTTTCCTCTCTCCGTCACTTCAATGTTTTATTACAGCCTTGAAGTCCCACTACGGACCCAAATAAGATGGTGGTGGTTATCAACCTGCAAAGTCCAGGCACACAAAGTGTAATGACGCGTAGTCAGAGAATTAGAGTCACAATCACACAAACATCTCCATAAAACCGCCTTCTTTTACAGTGTCGCTTAACTATCGCTCAGTGTCTTTGATAGCTGCTAAAAGTTCCACGATACGGTCTAAAGAAACGTTAAAGAGGCGGGCTTATCCCATATTTGAGCTTCCAGAACTCTCTTGTTCTCTGTCTAGTTATTATTTCCCCATATTCACTTCTCCCTGGATTTTCTACACAATATAGTTTAACTAAGACCATAACTTTATTCGTCGTAGCCCACCTCTCACTGATTCTCTTACTTGTATCACCACTTGCCAGCTCGGTGGCAGTTTTGACCACCTCCAACGCGACCATCTTCTCCTGTAGGCTGTCACAATGGATGGAAAACCTCATCGCCCAACCCGAGAAAGCCCTACCACCTTCCGAAGTCATAAAAGCCGTCGTGGCCACTGACCGAAGTCCCTCTCGGGGCAGTCTTCACAGAGACGCCTAGTATTATAAGGGATTTTCTGATGCACCGGCGGCAGTTGAGCCTTTTCAGTTACTTGTTCATGACATTAGCCATCTTCGAGAGAGCTTTACATTGCTAATGAAGGGTCCAAATATGCTGATCTTACTACAACCATCATTACGAGGACATAGATACCAGAAACCTCTGAGCTAGCAGTTATGTCTCCACTTTCATGTTTACCGTTTCAATACACTATTCTAACGGTCCATTATAACAGACCTATACAATATATTGTATAAGGCTACCATGAGGCAACTAACGCCTGCTACACCCACCCTTTCCAGTCCTATTATCACGGGTAGCACAGGTTGACAGGTTAATGACAGTAGTATTCAGCTAAGCTACAGTCTGGGCTCTATTCCGTCAGGTACGGGCAGGCTCTATTGTCAAGACGTAGCTCGAAGAGCTACAAACAGGTCTCGCGGCAGCGAGATGCAAAATCTTTCTAGTCACATTGGCCCGTGCTCTGCACGTGCCAAGCTCTATCAGTGGATCAACGACGGTCACGGTGCAACCGCCGTGACACCTATTATATTTCATTTCCCCCTCTTTCGCTTCGTGCGCAACTTCTCCGTACAGTAAAGTATTATCCACAAACCAGTCTTCTGCCTATGTTACAGATAAGCTTGTTGTTTCCAACACCTTGTCAGAGATACGCTCAGATATTGTTACCAATCCCTAGCATATCCCTGCATAGGCCCC